GAGTACGAGCAGCGAGTACAAGTGTGTGACCACCGGCGAGATGGAATTCGGCATGAAGTACTTCGAATACGTGACGCACAAGCACGGGTCTGGATAGTTCAACATCGTACGACATCAACAAGACGTAGCGCGGCGTCGCCAATAAGATGCAGAAGACTGTGGTGGTCGAAAACAGTACTTTGTACTGTTTTCTTGCGAATCCAAACAGTGAACTCATCGTACTGGAAACAGTATGTATTAAGTTCGCGTACGAACTTAAATATCTTCCTACGTTCTTACAACAGTTCTGGAGCTTCGTCGGGTAGCAGGCGGCGCTCGACGGCGTCGTCCGCGGGTAGCTTGGTATAGCCACACGAAGCTGATTGTTTCTCGATCAAAATCCATTTTTAATTGCCAAGGTACGTTTCTAGCTGGTTCCCACGTTAGCTCTCTATGGTTTACCCACTGCACTAAGTAGAATTCAAGAGTGTGGACCCATCGTTTTGCATAAAGGCGCTCAACCTCAAATGTCTCCCCACCTCACCCTCTTTGTGCTTGCCTTCCTCGAAATAAACCGTCGCCACTCTGCGGTAGAAACGCCGGGTTCTCTTCAGGGGGAGGCCGATTAGTTAGATTTTGGTTGACTCTCAACCTGTAAAAGGAGCCGTCGAGATTGCGTTGGAAGTTGCGTGTGTGTTTTCCTCTCTTGTTCAAAGGCGCCATTACAGAAATTGTAGAATGGCATGCATCTAGTGCTATCATAGTTGAGGACGTGTAATGCATAAGAAGCGATGCCGTTTGCTAAAAAAAATGTATTGTAGACGTCTCCAAATCACAAAACAAATTCACAAAACACAAATATACCTAAAGAATTCAATATTTTAATGTCCAAGTCTGGGACGCCGCAGTCGAGATCTCACAACTCGCAAACAAGAAACACTGTTTCATACAAGTTTTAGTATAGACACCCCAAGGGAACAACTGAAAATGTTATCGGATCACAATTTCGGAATTTCAATACTGGACGATCTGAAGTGCTTCCAAAACATGACGTGTGAAGCAAAGTTTTAAAGATAATATTCAGCTAAAATTTGATTTGCAATTACAAAATGCAAAAAATACAAATACTTTTATAGGAAAGAAAGTGTATTTTTAATATAAAGAAACAGAGTCGGGAATCACTATAGCTATCCTCATAGAGCATTACGACCTTGTTTTCGTTTGTGGGAAGGCTTGGGTCCTGGCTTCAGCCCCACGTTTACCAATACGGTCTGGGTCACTCTGAAAATGAGGAACAATCATGGATGAGTCGGATTCGAGTGTGACATCTGTAGGCCAAGGCTTGAACGCGAAAGTGTATGTGTCTTGAAAATGCCCAATTGAAGTTCTAATCTTGTAGTATAGCTCTTCAAATCTGCTAC